GGCAGCCATCTTTCTGCGAGATCATGCCACCACAGTGCCCAGGCAGCCATCTTTCTGCGAGATCATGCCACCACAGTGCCCAGGCCAGTGAGCGAGCCGCGCCGACTGTGACCAACACCCAGCACTCCCCCCAAGTGCATTTTAAAATACTATCTACTTTACAGAAATTCACTTTGAATACAAATGTAGAAACACCTTAATAGAGTTTATTGCCTCGAGTTGTTGTCTCACTAACTGATCAGTTTTATATTTTGTCTTGAAAGATGGACCCTGTATTGTCAACATCAGTTCCAGTGTACTCGTTGAGACTGGATAAAGAATATGAAGTGCGTGTGAGATCCAGACAACGAAATTCTGAAAAATATGGCGAGTTCAGTGAGGTGCTCTATGTGGCACTTCCTCAAATGAGCCCATTTGCATGTGAAGAAGGTAAAAGATTTAAAATGGCAGCCGACATGGCTTTTGTTAATAGAGTAATACATTGCCTCCATTGTCAGGGTGTTGTTCAGATCATGATCCATTAGCATCAAATGTCAGGGTGAGAGACCTCAAGTTCACTCTTTTTAACAGATATTAGTCATTACAAAAGTAGAAGGAGAACTTAGTCTGTGATGATTCAATTCAGGAAATGTCCGGGGGTAGATGTAAGTTAGAGAGGGGAAGATGCATTAAGGTATCAATGGGGGCTCTCTCTGGATATCAGAATTTCAGATGATTTTTTCCTTTATACATTTCTATATTTCTAAAGATTTCTATAATGAGTTTGTTTTGCATTTATAGTCAGAAAAAAAAAATGCTTTTCAAATGCATAGTGAAGAAATACTGGATCCATATGGATGGATGGATATGTAACATCTAAGAGAAAGCCTAATATTGTGTCCACATAGGTAGTCAATGGCAGCTGCTTACTGGCTTTAGAAAGGTTAGATATGGCTTTTACCTGGAGACAGGCTTAATAAGTAGCATGCTAGTCATATGCAGAATGACATGGAGTATTTGAAGATCCTATATAAGAAAAATACAAAGATAATTCAAGTTCAAAGAAATGAGATCTATGAATTCAGAATAAAAGAATTCAGAGACAGAAATAAAGAAGTCTGCTTAACAATGAACAGTAAGTATATAAAATTATCACTCCCACACGGGTATTAGCTGTGGTGCTTCTACAATGAAGCACAGAAAGTTTACAGGGCTATGTATGAGGAGCTGAGGCTTGCTGATGAAACAGTCACAAGCTATGGAGAAATTAAATTTCTATTTCTGCATTGATGATGCTACAGATAGAACCCATGATACTAGAGAGTGCTTAAATGAAAATGCCTGTAGCACCGTTTTTTCTAAGCTCTAGTTAACAGGCTTGTTCTTTTAAACAATATTTGATATAATGAAATTCTGATTTAAAAGTTACATCTGCGGGGTGCCTGGGTGGCTCAGTCGGTTAAGCGTCTGTCTTTGGCTCAGGTCGTAATCTCAGGGTCCTGGGATCAAGCGCCTCATCGGCTCTCCTGCTCAGGAGAGTCTGCTTCTCCGTCTCCCTCTGCCCCTCCCCCTGCTTGTGCTCTCTCTCTCTCTCTCTCAAATAAAATCTTTAAAAAATACTAATAAAATAAAAAGTAAAAAAATAAAATTACATTTGCCACACACCCTTGAAGCTGATTGTGATGCCATTTAATTCAATTAAGCATAGATCTTTTAACTGGTTCTTCCTTCCATGTTTAAAAAAAAAAATGAAGTTCTAGCTTTGTTATGTTCCTGAATATGGTATTGATATAAACTTACAGATATCACAAGATACAAAATGGCATTCTCTCCTCCACTAATTCTTTGTAATATCCATCATATCTCCCTTGGGGATTTTAATAACTGAATAAGAAAATAAATATAACAAAGGAATATTACAACATAAAATCCTACTTTTAATAAAGCAACATTCAAGTAAATTCCACCTGTCTTTTCATGTAAAACAGATAACCCTGATGAAGAGGTGGAGTAAAGGGAACCCTCCTGCACTCTTGGTGGGAAGGTAAATTGGAGCAGCCACTCGGGAAAGCAGTATGGAGTTTTAAGAATAGAGTATTAAAACATGGAGTGTTGGGGCACCTGGGTGGCTCAGTCGTTAAGCATCTGCCTTCAGCTCAGGTCATGATCCCAGGGTCTGGGATCGAGCCCCGCATCGGGCTCCCTGCTTGGCGGGAAGCCTGATTCTCCCTCTCCGACTCCCCCTGCTTGTGTTCCCTCTCTCGCTGTGTCTCTCTGTCAAATAAATAAATAAAATCTTAAAAAAAAAAAATGGAGTGTTAAAAATAGAAATACCATACAATCCAGTAACTCCAATGAGTTAAAAATAGAAATACCATAGAATCCAGTAACTCTACTATTGGGTATTTACCCAATGAAAACACCAATTTGGGGGTGCCTGGGTGGCTCAGTTGGTGAAATGTCTGCCTTCAGCTCAGGTCATGATCTCAGGGTCCTGGGATGGAGCCCTGCATCCAGGTCCTTGATCAGCAGGGAGTCTACCTCTCCCTCTCCCTCTGCCCTTCCCCACCTCTCTCTCTCTCTCTGTTTCAAATAAATAAATAAAATCTTTAAAAAAAAAAAAAAGGGTGCCTGGGTGGCTCAGTTGGTTAAGCAACTGTCTTCAGCTCAGGTCATGATCCCAGAGTCCTGGGATCGAGTCCCGCAGCAGGGAGCCCGGTTCTCTCTCTGACCCCACCCCCTCTTGTGGTCTCTCTCTCAAATAAATAAAATCTTTAAAAAAAGAAAAAGAAAACACCAATTTTATCCATTCACCTACTGATGGACATTTAGGCTGCTTCTATATCTTGGCTGTTATAAATAATACTGCAATGCACATGGGAGATAGATAGATAGATCACATCTTCTTTATCCATTATGGAATATTAGCCATAATAAGGATGAAATCTCACATTCACAACAACATAGATGAAGCTAGAGGGTATTATGCTAAGTGAAATAAGTAGCACAGAGAAAGACAAATACCCTATGATTTCATTTATATGTGTAATCTAAAAAACCAAAATAAATGAACAACAAAGCACAACAGAAACAGACTCATAAATACAGAAAACAAACTGATGGTTGCCAGAGGGGAGGACATGTGGGAGGACAGGTGAAATAGATGAAGGGGATTAAGAGGTACAGACTTCCAGTTACAAAATAAATAAGTCACAGGGATGAAAATTACAGCATAGGGAATGTAGACAATGATATCATAATAACGTTGCATGGTGACAGGTGGTAACTACAGTTACCATGGTGAGCACTGGATAATGTATAAAATTGTTGAATCCCTGTGTTGTACACTTGAAACTAATAGAACACTGTTCATCAACTATATTTCAGTTAAAAAGTGGAGAACACTGGGAACTTACTGCAGACAGCTGGTAGGCACTTGGTCTTAAGAAATGAAATTGAAGTTTTATGAACAGATTGCCCCAATTCTGCTACCAAGTAGAAGATAGGAGCCCCAGTAGTGATCTGTTTCTATCAAAGGATATTTTGTAAGCTGTAAAATATATGTCTGCATGTCTAAGAAGTTTCAGTCATGATTCAAAAATAGAACTCTGCCCCCATCCTTTTGATGGATCCTTAGTCTGGAGGATAAAAAATTATTACCATACGTAAGATAGATAGATGATAGATAGATAGATAGATAGATAGATAGATAGATAGATAGATAGAGAGAGGGAGGGAAGGAAGGGAGGAAGGGAGGAAGGGAGGAAGGAAAGAAGAGTGGAGGGGAGGGGAAGGGAAAGGAGAGAAAGGGATATGAGGAGAGGAGGAAGGGAAGGGAACGGAAAGGGAGGGAAGGAGGGAGGGAAGGAAGGACCAAGTGGACATCATTTGGGTAAAGTAGTAAATTGACAAACAGCATTTTTTTCTAGAGCTGAATCTCTAATGATACACCCTGAACACATAAGGTGCTTAAAACAGTTGTTGTGGACTTTTTATATAAACATGGATTGTGCTTAAACTGTTTGCTTTTTCTTCATTTTGATTTTTTTTTCACATGTGAAAAAATTTGAAGAAGTGGACAGAAACGTTCATGAAACAGAAAATATTCCTACATCATTACATTCTGTTATCAAGAGAAATCACTGACTTTACTAGATGAATACAAATTAAGAAATATTTTTTATGTGAAAAAAAGAAAGTGAAATGTAAACGTCAGCTATTCCTAATTCTATGAGTGAGATAATATTCTTGTGTGTTTCAGATTTCCAGTTTCCATGGTTCCTAATTATTATCTTTGGAATATTTGGGCTAACGATGATATTATTTTTATTCATATTTTCTAAACAGCAAAGGTAGGTGTGAAAAAGTCTATTTAGATGTTTTTGCCAGGGTTCAGATTTTCAAATGTGTTTCCACTTGTTATTTGATATTTCCTTTGCAAATCATGACTGAAAATTTTAATTAATGCAGTAAAATGTTATCACTAGTTATACATTTACCACTTTGTTGTGTTCATCATAGAGAATTCCTGGGTGTCTGTTCTATCTGGGAAGTTGTATAGGACATTAGGAGGCTGAGGCTGGTGGCCACACACCTTGTGATCCGCACAAAACTGTCATCTCAGAGCTGCCCCTTGATCTCTTCTAAGTCCTAAAGGAACTGGCCCATTCATTCTAGGACAATGAGATGGCACTGAACCTTTAGCTAAGTTGGACACAGTTCTAATAGACAAGCAAATGTAAGTGGCAAACGAAAGCCACCTAGATAATTCAATCTAATAAAACCATTTTAGACTTCATAGGATGGTGTTTTCAAGTAAATCTGGGTTTTATTGAAATTATTAAATTTTATTTAAATTATTACAAATAACCCACATTTGTAAACACAGCTAAAATTCTAAGTTTAAAGAGATTCTCTTCTGTATTCTCTTGGTGTCCCAAGACTCAGGTCCCAGTTATTCTGCCACTGCTGTTTGATCTTATTTGAGTCCCTTAACCTCTCTGGGCTGCATGTTCTCATGGGTAATAAAAGCATGTTGGAGTATATGACCTTAAATTTCCCTGAGCTGTATGAGTTATCACTCTATTTTTCTTCCTGAAGGAAATTCCACACAGACTACAGGAAATTGTAATACAAAATATAGGAAAAGTTACCGGTACCAATTGCAAATTTTTTACATTTAGAGTATTTTTCAAGTCCCATGGGTTCATCCTGCCCCTTCTCCTAGAACAAGGGTGACTAACACTCCCAGTTTGCCTGGAACTTTCCTGGTTTGAGCACTGAAAGTCCTGTGTCCTGGAAAACTCCTCAGTTCCAGACAAACCAAGATGGTGGGTCACCCTACCTAGAATTGTAGACACTTTCTTCAGCTGAAGCCAAGAGGCATCTGCAAATCAAAACAGGATCTATGTGAATACATTGCAAAAGCTTTTTAATTAGAGTTGCATCTCCAGTTCTATAATGTAAACCAATGGGAAAGCAAAATTCATTCTGCAGAATTTCATTTTGCATCTAGCTGCTTATTTTATTTTAAAGATTTTATTTATTTA